TGAACCCAGTTTTGGTGCATTGTTCATGCACACGTGATCGTGGGGTTTTTAGAAGTTTTTAGGACGTTAGGGAGCTTTAGAACCTTCTCACGAAGTTCATGGAACAATTTTGAAGGTTTTTGGACGTTGGGAAGCCCAGTTTCAGTGAGTTGCAGGTTTGGTTGGAATTTCGAGGTTTCTCCGGAGAGATTCCGTTGGTTTTAGGTCCCCAAAGTGGTAAGGTTTTGTTCTACTTGTTGTAAGCTTCATTTTGGTACAAATTTCATGGAATTTGGTTGAGAAATGAAGAAGATATTAAGGTTTAAAGTTTTCCTAGTTTTCCGACGAGAAATCGAGTTGCAGACGGCGGCGAACGGCGGCGATCGGCAAGGCTCACCAGAGAAGGAGGAGAATATTCCGTCAGAGTTAACGGAATATTCTAACGGCATCAGGTAACTGCCGTTATTGTCTGCTAGGGTTTTAACGGAATATTCCCTAATGCCGTTAGGGTTTCACACTCATGTCAGGCACTGTGCCCTCGCATGGCCGGCACGTGGTGGTGCATGGGAGGTCAGAAAATTATTTTAAAATATGGGGATGTTCGTGAGGTTGTGTAGATCATGTTTGTATATTCAAACACCTCATTTGAGTAATGTATGAGAAGTTATTATCTAAGGTTGGTTATGTGCATTAAAGTGATGGTTTTATAGTTGTTTTGCATATAGGTGAGGACTATCCAAAGAACTGAGCGCAGCTGCGCGAGGCTCGGGGCTTACGACCCTTATACGTATCAGTGAGTGAGCTTTTGGTTTTCCGTATATACCTATATACTTGACTATTTTTCCAGAAAATGCAATTAAATGTTTATATGTTTTAAATGACATGCCTAGCATTTGCATATTTAGTTATGCATTAATAGTTGCATATATGTATGCTTTGGTCCTGCGTAGACGCTCAGGTAAGCTAGGTGAGTATGTTTGTTAGTGATCGATGTGGTGATGATGAGATTGGGTTATAGCTTATATGCCTGTTTCTCGGTGATTGTGCTCTGCCAGAGTAGGGCTTAGCCTTCACGTGATTGTTCACCTCCCACACTACACGCTCACCTTGGATCCAAGGCAGGTGCCAGCCTGTCGTACAGACCACAATAGGTGGTCCGACTCGTAGGTGACTTGCGATACATCGCACAACCTTCACGTGATCGTAACACTAAGTGTATTTATATTACACCAGCCTGTCGTTGCAGGATAGTGGTTGGGGAGTTATAGTTTCAGCGTACATGTCACTTTAGGTGACTCTGGCTGACGTGTTGATATTATCAGCCTATTATGATTTATGCTATCTCACCTGCTTGATACATACATTGTTGCACGGCATATTTTTCTGGCATGGCATATTTGAGGTTTATCGTTTTTAGCATGTGTTGAGATACGAGTACGTATGATATTTTCTGTAAAGTATACGGGTTTTATAGTGAAGGGTTAGTATTTGTTATTGAAATGGTTTGAAAAACAAACTGTTTTTTTGCCCACTCACGTTTTTTGTTTTGCGCCCCTCCAGGTTTTAGGTAGCGAGGTCATGGGTGGCGATCGAGGCAGTTCTAACAGAGCACCCTCCATGTAGGATTTTCTAGTAGTTACTTGTGTAGTGTCTGTTTGTTATGGACTGCACCTAGGATACTTGAACTCCTACTTTGCATTTTCCTTCCGTGTTTGTCATTTACACTCATTGATCTTTTTATTGTAAATTATCTGGTTGATTTTATTTTCCTCGCATTTTCATTCTTTTACTTCTGCTTTGTGCACTTGGCTACGTCACACTTACGTGACGGCCAACACGCTCCAGTTTTTGGTTTGGGATGTGTCATAAAACTCATATTTGACTCAAGAGTGGAGCAAATTAGAGTGGATTTAGAATCCAACATTTGAATTTTTCTCCTAAGGTTGGAATCCAAGGTGCTTCGGTCCTAGGGTTAAGATTCCGAGGTGCTGAGGCATCAAGTTTAAGTTTCTTGCCCTCCCGTGCCCTCCTGTTTTGTGTGATCACAGTTAAGCCACGTCAACATTTTATATTATTTTTTTATAGAGATAATAAGACAAGAATAAATAGTTACATAAAATGTTGACATAACTTAACCGTGATCACACAAACAGAAAGGCACGAGAGGGCAGTCGAAAGTGAGAGGGCAGACAATCCTTGTCCGTGCTTGGACTCCACCTCAAGCCATCTCCAATCGAATGAGGATCAAAGGACTATGTTTAGCCCTATAATCCTGCAAGAGTGATATTTTAATGAACAATACTATATCATATTAGGTTGACATCACCGACTTCAAATGAAATGCTAAACTTGTTTGGCCCAAAATCTCTAACATCTCATCCCAACAAAAGTTGAAATTATAACAATTTGGGCCTCACGCAAATTCCTAGTCTTTGGGTACTTACAACCAAGGAAATAATGTTTTAACGAATAGCTTACAGGTACTATTTATTTTAACAAAACAAACTATACTTTTATCTTAAAAATTCAATCCTAGTACTATTCCTTTACTCTTTATTTTATCTTATCATTAAAACTTAAAATTTTCAAATACCTCTTCATTTTCATTTGTTTTCCTCCAAGAAAACGAGCAAAGACAGCATCCCCTACGTATTTCTTCCATTCAAATTCTGCAACTTCTAATCCAAATGATTGTTCTGTAGTATTTGTTTGTTCTTGTTACGCGTGGCCCTTAAGATCGCTTTCCTTTTTACCCATGGAAACGTTTTGAACCATAGCTGCGCAATAGTGTGAAAAACTCCATCGGGAACCATAGCTGCGCAATAGTGTGAAAAACTCCATCCGGAAGGGTTTCTTTTTTAGGGTTTTCCTTCTGAAGGTTTAGTTCACAAACACGTAGGTTTATGCTAATTTGAAGGTTTAGTTAACTAATTTCAGCAATAAACAAGATACATATATAGAGATGGAAAGCAAGTCAGACAAATCCAAATGCCTCAAATAATTGAGTTCATGAAAAAAGATTTCTCCTTTTTTCACACATCTAATTGAATCATCACTCTTGCCAAATCCCACTTCCAACTCAAACAAATTCTTTAAACAAACTGCCAAAAAACCCCAAACAGGACTCAGATTTAAAATGTTACCCACCTAAGATGGAGACATTTACACATTAACAGTTTACCAAATGGTTTAGAAGCACCCCAATTGACTGAAATATCAAATAGCATGCAACTATCTGCCTTAGGGTTTCAAGAAAAATGGGGAAAAAGAGCTCCAAAACCCAAAAGGAAAATAGAGCAATGACTCAGAAAACCGAGGTGGGAGGAGAGGAGGGTTTCAGAAGGAAAACCCTAAAGAGACCCTCCCCGATGAAGTTTTTCAGTATTGCGCAGCTATGACTCAAAACGCTTCCATGGGTAAAAGGGAAGGCGATCTTAAGGGCCACGCTTAACAAGAACAAACAAAAACTACAGAACAAGCATTAGAATTTGAATGGAAGAAGACCAGAAAACCCTAATTCCCGAAGAGGCAGAGGAGGCGGATCAACAGCAGAAGGTGGACATATATATGGGATGCGACCAATTAAATAACACAAATACAATTAACTTGAATTTTTAATTTGGATGTGGGAACATCTGAATGCATAAACCTTTTGGAAGTAAAAGGCAAATGCTAGAATCTCAGTTCCATCTTCTTATCGGCAACGTACAGCACTAATTACGCTATCAAAACAAGCGAATCAGAGACTCTAATTTGTTGCCTTTCCAATCACCCAACCCAACAAATACCCATGCTTTCTCAATAACCCAATTTACCCAATCGAAAAAAGAAAAAAAAAAAGAAAGACACAAATCACCGCAAAAATCTCACAAATTTTGAATCATAATAAGGCTCAGAGTGTAAAGTTGGCATCAACAAGCCCGAAAACCAGAGCTCTCAAAGTTTGATGGTATACAGATTTAATCATCACCGCCTCTCTTTGCCAAACCAAAAAAAAACCTACCAAAAATTCAGACAAATTAAAATACTTTATCAGAAGGGTAAGAGGCGGCCTCAGAGGGTAGTGATTGAAACATCAAAGATACCAAAACATCTCAGATGGTACGGACAATACAATATCAAAACATCACAGGCCAATTTCATCACCACAAAAATGACCAAAACAATAATAATAAAAAGAGAGAAAGAGAAAGGGTTGAAGGAGGCTGGAGGTTTGCTTTGCTGTGATGATGGTGTGAGTCCGGAGGTGGGTTTAAATACTAGTGAGGAGAAAGAATCGAAACCCTAGTTGTGCTAAATTACCATGATGGCCTTGGTTCAGATGGGTTTGGTTTTGTTGTGAAGCCCATGGCAATCTTAAAGAACTTAAAGCCCATCTCACACAATGGTGGCCCAAATTGCTTTTATAGGAACTTGGGATATGAAGGTTGGTTCATGAGTTTTGCTATTCCTTGATTAGTTTGCTTCCATGTAGTCTAGTGATATTCCTGTTTACAAGTTTGTTAAATCTTTTTGTCAAACTATGTTGTATGGAAGAGTTTTTATGTTTCAAAGTTGTTAATCCCCCTACTCATGAACCAAACGCCACCTAACTGATTACCTTTCTTATTATTTCCAAATGATCCGAGTCAGAAAACGAAAAACAATGTCTAACCTTATTCATTTCGTACATGACTTGATACATTAATTGGCCCTTAGATTATGCTCGAGTGTTCAAAGGAGCCTCTTAGACATGGAAGTGTTGCGAGTTGTGCATTGCTTGATTGACAAGCAATGAAGAGGTTGAATGAGTGATTCCAATTGAGGGAAGGCAGACAAGTTTAACTGTCACGTGGTATCTCCAATCAAAGTCTTGTTAATACGCTTGTTATAACAAGACTAAAAACGTATCAATCTGTGGCCGCGTGACTCTTGCCCCGAAAAACTTCTCTTTTATTTAGACATTTGGGAAGAGCTTAGCATATCATAGTTGGTGTGTGTTAGTGATTGCTTCATCAAATAATGTAATTGACCCCAATAAATGAGCAAATACTCACTATTGACAAAATAAAAGCCACACAGGAAAGGTAATTCCATAAAATTCTACAAACATTTGGTTGTACAAGCAAATAGATAACAATATGAAAGGACAACCCACCGCTTACTTAAAAAACTTCGGTCTGTGAAAAAACATAGCTCTACAAGTTACTACCATCTTCACTACCGCTGTCATCGTTATACATACACTGTTCTTGTGTTCCGGCCTGTGAGTGAACTCAAAATCTATATGCACAAAAGCCCGTTCCACTTCAGGGAGTTGCTCGAGCTTCTCTTGGAGAGTCTCGCCAATGTTGTGCGCTTTGTTCAGTAGCATGTCTTCTGGCAAGACAATGTCAACCTCCACAAAGTAATGGGAACCAAATGTGTACGCCCTCACTGTATCGATGTGCTTGATTTCTTCGTGGTGGTTCCATATCAAGTATGTCAACTTTGCCAAAAAGTCGGGTGGTGCTGTTCTTCCAATTAGCGCATGTACATTCTCCAAGACCGTCTTTGTCCATGTATTAATGGTATATAGTGCTATCTGCATAATGTGTTCGAGAATGAAGTTAACATTACATCAACAACAAAGCCTTTTCCGACTATGTGGGGTCGGCTAGAGAATGAAGTTAACATTAATGATTAAAAAGTACAGCAGATCAGAGGGAGCGAAAATGGTAAATGAAGAACTTACTATAATAGCACCAGTAGGATCAATCCACCAGAAGAACCGGACAGCTAGGACTGCTGCTGCTAAACCAACTGAATTAGTAATGACATCGAAAAAATGGTCTTGTGCATAGGCCCGTACAATTTCATTCTTAAATCTACGACAGTAGACCATGAGCACAAACTTCACTACAGTGACTGAGACCATGATGCCAATCATCCAATTCTCCTGCGTACTATTCATTTTTGCAGGCGGTGACTGCACCCACAAAATGATACAAAGGATACAGCAGCAACATTAATTACAAAACAAGCTAAATTAAGATCTACACAGTAACCATATATTTACACCAAATAATTGCATATAGGACCATGAACTCCGTTCATTTGATGAAGAAAAAACGACCTAGTGATGTCAAATAGACCTATCTGTTGTTTCTGATTTACATGAACTCCAGTTTTAACTATCAGCACTAGGATGACCATAAAAACTAGCTAGAATGCAGCAAGTGAAATGTGAGGACATAATTAGACAATCGTTTTTACATAACGAAGCAACTCTGGCCAAAAGAAAAAACGATCAGACAGAAATAGGCTAAGAAACCATCCCCAGGATTGAGATACAAAATATCAGTTCCAAATAAAACTGAAAATCTAATGTTTTGTTTCCACAAAGACATAATAGAAGACAATTAAAAGGGAACACCGGAACATATCAGAGCTTTCACAGAACCCATAAAACAGTCTGAAACCTGGCAGATGCCTTCCTAGTCCAACTTCAAAGATGGAGTGCGAAGAAAAATATAAAAAAAGGTGTCACCTGCCTGTGAGACGAGTTCCCGACCAGACTCAATCAATATTTGCAGTCCAAGAGTAGCCATAACAGATGCAAAGACAATGATACCCTGCATGATCAAACACAATTAAAGATATACACACAAAAAATAAGAAAATGGCGAATCAAGCCGGACAAGAGATCCAATTGAAGAACACAGAAAATATGCAGCTCCAATTCATCCACTCATTGTGGGAACAAAGACCCAACTATTTCCAAAATTACCATTGTTATCAAGCTTGATAACTTACCACTGGTTGCATACGTTTCTTCCCAATAGGATAGCGAAACTGGTTGGAATTTTTCATGGCATTAGCAGTGAACCACAAAATAAAGCCGGATAAGAGATCCAAGAGGGAATCCAAGGTAGAGGCAATAACTGCCAATGATCTGCTCATAATTGAAGCATAAACTTTTGCAGCAAAAAGAACCAAATTAGCTATGTTTGATGCATGAACTGCCATCCGCTCGCTCTTCGCTAGCTGCTTCATTTGATCCTGAGAAGAAATGTATGCAAAAGACACGAGTTTAATCGAGAAATTTGTCATTCCAAGAAATTTCACGCTGTGAGAAACAACTCATTAACCAGACTTGTGCACTTATATGTCTAATGTAGAGAAAATAAAATTCAAGGATAACAAACTGCTAAGACTTGGCAGCTTCTGTGCCCTCCCCCTCAAAATATAACTACAACGCATTTAATTCCACAAACTGAAAATAAAGAAGTACGAAAATAAAATTCGAATATCCAAATCTCAATACAAAGAGGGATAACACACAAATTGAACAAACCTCTGTAAGACTTCCGGGCAACCAACCCTCATCAGTCATGGTCTGCATCTCAGTGAACCCTTCAAGAAGCCTTTCTTGTTGCTTGTAATATTCTTCAACCTTGTACTTTTTCCCTGAGTTTAAAAGCCAAAGCAAGAAAAATTCATGAGCCCCATGATATTTGGCAGTGAGGAAAAAGGCCGTAAAACCAAAAAGCGAATGACAGTGTCCTAAGTTTATCATTATTGATAAAACCATTACAGGTTAATTCAACATGAGGCCCATAAAGTTCAACAAAATACATCAAGCAATTAGTATGGGAAAATTTGATGGATTTCGACAGCGTTCCTCTAAATCCTCAGCAGTGGTAGCTTCACTATCGAACACAAAATTATTCACGAAAAATATGCAAGGGAACTCTTGAGACAAGTTCAAGGTCAATTAAAGTACATGACTTACAAACTTGGAAAGAAAAAAAAAAAAAAACCAAAGTATAAATCATGTCAAAATATCAAAACGTTTACGAAATTTTCATCTTTCGATGATCTCCCCAAGCACACTGAACATCCAAAATTAGTAATCACCCTTTAATTAATTCACTCTTAAGATTTTCCACTTTAACAAGAATCTTGGGTTAGGTCCAAACTAATTCTCTCTGCTTGAGAGACCTTTCTCACCACCGCTTGTGTGAGGGTTCCACTTCCGATGGGTGGTTGTGCTTTCCTTGTTCTGTTGTCTTCCTTTTTGCTGTTTTTCCCCTGCTCTCCTTTCCGATCTGCCCCATTTCTTCATACCCCCGTCGGCGTTTCTCCTTGCTCATCTCTGCTCCGATCTGCAGCCGCTTCAAAACCGCGATTTGTTGCGGTACAGGTGCTCCTAGTTGGATGTTGCAACGGTGAGGCGTCGGTTGGTTGGTGGCGAGGGTTTGTGCTGGTAGGGATGCTCGGCGGCGGGTGGCTGCAAGGAAGCTTGGGTTTTCTTTGTTGTATTTTAGGGCTTGGGCCTTTACTGTTTGTTGGATCTTTTGCGCTAGTTTGGCAGGTCCTGTTTTGTTTTTGTTTGTTTATGCTTCTGTATCTTTGCACCTTGTACTGTTCCTTTGTGTTTGGTAATGAAATTGACCCACTATCCTTTCCAAAAAAAACAAACGAAACAACCCTGTTTTTATTTTCTGCACACAATCCAAATCTTCCATAAAGTTTGAATCCTCTTAAAATTATGCATTAAGAAAAATAATTAACACCAAAGAGCCCAAGAACAAAGTGAATTTTGCAGATAAACCCCACGATTTAATCTTGACTTAATACGACCAAGATTACTAACATTGCATGCAATACAAACACGAAACAGGTAAGAAAGAAAACGACGAACAGAACCCTTACTGGGGGCGCAGAGGCGACGGAAAGCGAAACGACTCCGTCCACTGTCATGGTCGTCACCACTAGTACCGCTCTGCTGGGGCAGCCGGAACTCCTTAACATCGAGTCTCCACGATGTGTTTCCGTCCGGCTGTACGGCGTCGTCTTGTGAGACCAGAAACGGTTCAGTCCGGCCTCCTGAAGTAGGCGAACTAATCTCCATTGTTGTTGGGGATTTTGGGGACGCAACTTCTCCGGAAATTTCCAACTTAATAGGATATGTAACCACCCCCACTTTATACGTGGACTGAATTACTATGACCTCGTTTGAATGTGTTTTAAAATGACTGAAAACGTTTTTTATGAAAATATTTTTGAAAGCAATACTTAGTAAAAATGGTAATAAATCCTGGAAAAAAAACACTTAAAGTTCTTCCTACCTGGTGCTTCTCATTGAAACCTAAAAATATTTTCTCTACAAGCGCTTTCAGTCGTTTTAAAAACACATCCAAACTAGTTATATATAAGTATATCGTTTATAACTTTATACGTCTAAATTTATTTAGAAGCTTTTAAAATTAAAATAATAGTTCAAAAAGGTCACTATCACTACTAAGGAGAGAGATTCGAACTCAAGACCACAAGTATAATTCTACTTTTTTTGAACAAAATAAATTATAATTTCAAAAACAAAAAGAATTAATCGAGTTATCATTATGGTAGCCTTTTTTTATGAAAATGTTTTTTAAACTAATCATTGATAAAAATTTGAGCAAATTTTTGAATAAGCATGGTAAACGCTTTTAAGTTATTTTAAAATAATTGTCTTTCATTTATAAGGGTTTGATTTCAAATTTTCCTAAGCTATAATATTTTAAAAGAAGGTTGAAAATAACCCCAAAAATATACGTCGCTAAGGAGTGAGGCCACACAAACCGTTAGGCGGCACGAACAAACAAAACTATTAGAAGTATTGTCGTTGTACAGCTTGTAGATGTATCAAACTATCTTCACTTGTAAATTTGAAATTTTAGCTTTGACTCAAATCCATGAGGAGTTTGATAACTATCATGAGTGACTCATTGTATAGCTTGTAGGGGTAGCATCAAATTGATTGATTCAAATTGTCTTGGGCGGTTAATTTGGTTTTGATCAAGAATAAAATAAAATACAAATTAATAGTCAAACCAAACCAAACAAATCATATATTTTAATTATTAATTTAATTTATTCATAGGTCTTCCTAAACACATTATAAGTGTCAACATATTATACTTGTAATGACTATTAACAATTAGTATATTTATTTTTACCTTATGCTTATGTGAGTTTGTAACTAATAAGTCATTTGGTAGCGTCAGATTTTAGTTAATTGAATCTTAGTCTTAGTCGGTGTTTTAAAAATGAGCCTCGAGGCGTGCCTAGGTGACTTTGAATGTGGGGTGATGAAATTGCATCCGTCCAATGAGAGTAGGCGAAAACTCGCTAAACGTGGCTAAGGCGTACCTAAGGCACTCAATTGGGTGTCAATTTTTGTGTAAGAGTTGCCGGAATATGAAAATCTTTATGTTGAATTTGAAAGTTTGCTCATCTCCATGGCGGAAAAAATGCATGCTCGTCCAAGCCATCTGTGGCATCACCGTTGGCTCATCTAGTTTATGGTATTTCTCTTCTTAATATCGAAAGAAGTAAAGCGTTATTTTGAACTCGCACACTCAATGGTAATGATTGTAATGTGGAACACGAACAAACAAACTATTGGAAGTGTGGTCGTTGTATAGCTTGTAGAGGTATCAAACTATTTTCACTTGTAAATTTGAAATTTTAGCTTTGACTCAAATGCATGACGAGTTTGATAACTATCATGACTGACTCATTGTATAGCTTGTAGGGGTAGCATCAAATTGATTGATTCAAACTGTTTTGGGCGGTTGATTTGGTTTTGATCAAGAATAAAATAAAATAAAATTTAAAAGTCAAACCAAACCAAACAAACCATATATTTTAATTATTAATTTAATTTATTCAGAGGTCTTCCTAAACACATTATAAGTGTTAACATATTATAATTGTAATGACTATTAACAATTACTATATTTATTTGTAATTTATGCTTATGTGAGTTTGTAACTAATAAGTCATTTGCTAGCATCAGATTTTGGTTAATTGAATCTTATTTTTAGTCAAAGTTTTAAAAATGAGCCTCAAAGCGTGCCTAGACAACTTCGGATGTGGGGCGGTGAAATCGCATTTGCCCAATGAGAGTAGGTGAAAACGCGCCTAAACGTGGCTAAGGCGCTCGATTGGGTGTCAATTTTTGTGTAAGAGTTGCCGGGATCTAAAAATTTCTCTGTTGAATTTGAAAGTTTGCTCATCTCCATGGTAGAAAAAATGCACGCTCGTCCAAGCCATCTGCGGTATCATCGTTGGCTCATCTAGTTTATGGTATTTCTCTTCTTAATATCAAAAGAAGTAAAGCATTATTTTTTAACTTGCACACTTAATGGTAATGATTGTAATGTGGAACACGAACAAACAAAACTATTATAAGTGTGGTCGTTGTATAGCTTGTAGAGGTATCAAACTATTTTCACTTGTAAATTTGAAATTTTATCTTTGACTCAAATGCATGATGAGTTTGACAACTATCATGACTGACTCATTGTATAGCTTGTAGGGGTAGCATCAAATTGATCGATTCAAACTGTTTTGGGCGGTTGATTTGGTTTTGATCAAGAATAAAATAAAATACAATTTAAAAATCAAGCAAACCAAACAAACCATATATTTTAATTATTAATTTAACTTATTCAGAGGTCTTCCTAAACACATTAAGTGTTAGCAGATTATATGTCACATCCCGGCCCGGGGGGGACCACTTCCCGGGCCCGCTCCACCACCGTAGCACGATATTGTCCGCTTTGGGCTTACCATTCCCTCACGGTTTTGTTTTTGGGAACTCACGAGCAACTTCCCAGTGGGTCACCCATCCTGGGAGTGCTCTAGCCCTCTACTCGCTTAACTTTGGAGTTCCTACGGAACCCAAAGCCAGTGAGCTCCCAAAAGGCCTCGTGCTAGGTAGGATGGGAATATACATTTAAGGATCAGTCCCCTGGGCGATGTGGGATGTCACAATCCACCCCCCTTAGGGGCCCGACGTCCTCGTCGGCACATACGCGGCCAGGGTTAGGCTCTGATACCAATGTCACATCCCGGCCCGGGGGGGACCACTTCCCGGGCCCGCTCCACCACCGTAGCACGATATTGTCCGCTTTGGGCTTACCATTCCCTCACGGTTTTGTTTTTGGGAACTCACGAGCAACTTCCCAGTGGGTCACCCATCCTGGGAGTGCTCTAGCCCTCTACTCGCTTAACTTTGGAGTTCCTACGGAACCCAAAGCCAGTGAGCTCCCAAAAGGCCTCGTGCTAGGTAGGATGGGAATATACATTTAAGGATCAGTCCCCTGGGCGATGTGGGATGTCACAATCCACCCCCCTTAGGGGCCCGACGTCCTCGTCGGCACATACGCGGCCAGGGTTAGGCTCTGATACCAATGTCACATCCCGGCCCGGGTGGGACCACTTCCCGGGCCCGCTCCACCACCGTAGCACGATATTGTCCGCTTTGGGCTTACCATTCCCTCACGGTTTTGTTTTTGGGAACTCACGAGCAACTTCCCAGAGGGTCACCCATCCTGGGAGTGCTCTAGCCCTCTTCTCGCTTAACTTCGGAGTTCCTACGGAACCCGAAGCCAGTGAGCTCCCAAAAGGCCTCGTGCTAGGTAGGGATGAGATATACATATAAGGATCACCCCTGGGCGATGTGGGATGTCACATTATAATTGTAATGACTATTATAAGTGTTAACAATTAGTATATTTATTTGTAATTTATGCTTATGTGAGTTTGTAACTAATAAGTCATTTGCTAGCGTCAGATTTTAATTAATTGAATCTTAGTCTTAGTCAGTGTTTTAAAAATGAGCCCTGAGGCGTGCTTAGGCGACTTCAGAGGCGAGTTTAAACAATAGTGAGGAGAAAGAATCAAAACTCTAGTTGTACTAAATTACCATTGTAACCTTGGCACAGATGGGTTTGGTTTTGTTGTGAAGCCCATGGCAATCTTAAGGAACTTAAAGCCCATCTTACACAATGGTAGCCCAAAGTATTTTTATAGGAACTTGGGATATGAAGGTTGGTTCATGAGTTTTGGTATTCCTTTGATAAGTTTGCTTCCATCTATCTATTCATTTGGTATGGTGATATTTCTCTTTAAAAATTTGGTAAATCTTTTTTTCGTACTAAGTCGTACAGAAAAGTTTTTGCATAACGGGTGTTTTGAAGTTGTTAATCCTCCTACTCACGAACCACTATCTATTCCTTTGGTATGGTGATATTCCTCTTTAAAAATTCGGTAAATCTTTTTTTCATACTAAGTCGTACAGAAAAGTTTTTGCATAACGGCTGTTTTGAAGTTGTTAATCCTCCTACTCACGAACCAAACGCCACCTAACTGATTGTCTTTCTTATTATTTCCAAATGATTGCCTTAGATAACGAAAAATATAGTAGTGTCTAACCTTATTCATTTCGTACATCATTTGATATGTTAATTGCCCCTTAGGCTATGGTCTCGTGTTCCAAAGCACCTCTTAGACGTGAAAGTGTTGTGAGTTGTGCATTGCTTGATTACGAGCAATGAAGAGGTTGAATGAGCGATTCCAATTGTGGGAAGGCAGACAAGTTTAACCGTCACATGGTGTCTCAAATCAAAGTCTTATAAATATGCTCGTTATAACAAGAGTGAAAAAGTATCAATCTGTGGCCGCTTGACTCATGCCCCGAAAAACTTCTCCTTTATTTAGACATTTGGGAAGAGCTTAGCATATCATAGTTGGTGTATGTTGGTGATTGCTTCATCAAATAATGTAATTGACATCAAGAAATGAGTAAATACTTACTGTTGAGAAAAATAAAAGCTACACAGGAAAGGTAATTCCATAAAGTTCTACAAGCATTGGTTGTACAAGCAAATAGCAATAACAAAATGAATGCACAACCCAATGCTTATTTAAAAAACTTCGGTCTGTGAAAAAACATAGCTCTACAAGTTACTACCATCTTCACTACCGCTGTCATCGTTATCATACACTGTTCTTGTGTTCCGGCCTGTGAGTGAACTCAAAATCTATATGCACAAAAGCCCGTTCCACTTCAGGGAGTTGCTCGAGCTTCTCTTGGAGAGTCTCGCCAATGTTGTGCGCTTTGTTCAGTAGCATGTCTTCTGGCAAGACAATGTCAACCTCCACAAAGTAATGGGAACCAAATGTGTACGCCCTCACTGTGTCGATGTGCTTGATCTCTTCGTGGTGGTTCCATATCAAGTATGTCAACTTTGCCAAAAAGTCAGGTGGTGCTGTTCTTCCAATTAGCGCATGTACATTCTCCAAGACTGTCTTTGCCCATGTATTAATGGTATATAGTGCTATCTGCATAATGTAGTTAAACGAATGAATAAAAAGTACAGCAGATCAGCGGGAGCAAAAATGGTAAATGAAGAACTTACTATAATAGCACCAGTAGGATCAATCCACCAGACGAACCGGACAGCTAGGACTGCTGCTGCTAAACCAACTGAATTAGTAATGACATCGAAAAAATGGTCTTGTGCATAGGCCCGTACAATTTTATTTTCAAATCTACGACAGTAGAGCATGAGCACAAACTTCACTACTGTGACCGAAACCATGATGCCAATCATCCAATTCTCCTGCGTACCATTCATTTTTTCGGGCGGTGACTGCACCCACAAAATGGTACAAGGATACAGCAACAACATTAATTACAAAACAAGCTAAATTAAGATCTACACAATAACCATATATTTACAACAAATCAGTGCACATAGGACCATGAGCTCCTTCATTCGATGAAGAAAAAAACGACCAAAAGAAACTCCGACCAAAAGAAAAAACATCAGCTAGAAATAGGCTAAGAAACTATCCTCAGGATTGAGATTCACAATCATTCCAAAATAAACTGAAAATCTAATGTTACACTTCCACAAAAATATAATAGAAGACAATTAAAAGGGAACACCGGAACGTATCAGAGGTTTCCCAAAACCAATTCGATCTGTTCATCGATGGCCGGCAAGTTTGATGGTCCTAATGATGATCCTGCACGTATTTCGTGTGATTCTCACTGGCGTCTTTAAAAAACCTTGAATTGACTTGGGTTACAGGTGTGGTTTTGGGTGTATTGACCACATCTTTTGTTGTAACTGGTTATTCCTTACCTCGGGACCAAATTGGTTATTGGGCAGTAAGAGTCTGATACCTGGCAAGGTTCCTTCCTAGTCCAACTTTAAAGATGGGAGTGCGGCGAAAAATATTAAAAAGGTGTCACCTGCCTGAGAGACGAGTTCCCGACCAGACTCGATCAATATTTGCAGTCCAAGAGTAGCCATAACAGATGCGAAGACAATGATACCCTGCATGATCAAACACAATTAAAGATCAACAAAAAACAAAAAATAAGAAAAAGAGAAAAAAGAATAGGACGAATCATGCCGGACAAGAGATCCAACCCAAGAACACAGAAAATATGCAGCTCCAACGCATCCAATCATTGTGGGAACAAAGACCGAACTATTTTCAGAATTGCCATTGTTATCAAGCTTGATAACTTACCACTGGTTGCATACGTTTCTTCCCAATAGGATAGCGAAACTGGTTGGGATTTTTCATGGCATTAGCAGTGAACCACAAAATAAAGCCGGATAAGAGATCCAAGAGGGAATCCAAGGTAGAGGCAATAACTGCCAATGATCTGCTCATAATTGAAGCATAAACTTTTGCAGCAAAAAGAACCAAATTAGCTACGTTTGATGCATGAACCGCCATCCGCTCACTCTTCGCTAGCTGCTTCATTTGATCCTGAGAAGAAATGTATGCAAAAGACACGAGTTCAATTGAGAAATTGGACATTCCAAGAAATTTCATGCTGTGAGAGAATAAAATTCAAGGATAACAAACTGCTAAGAGTCGGCCGTCTCCCTCAAAATATAACTAAAACGCATTCAAATTCGAATATCCAAATCTCAATACAAAAAGAGGGATAATACACAAATTGAACAAACCTCGGTAAGACTTCCGGGCAACCAACCCTCTTCAGTCATGGTCTCCATCTCACTGAACCCTTCAAGAAGCCTTTCTTGTTTCTTGTAATATTCTTCAACCTTGTACTTTTTCTCTGAGTTTAAAAGCCAAAGCAAGAAAAATTCATGAACCTATGATACTTGGCAGTGAGGAAAAAGGCCGTAAAACCAAAAGCCAATGAAAGTGTCCTAAGTTTATCATGATTGATAAAACCATTACAGGTGAACCCCAATCTTCCAGAAAGTTTGAATCCTCTTAAAATTATGCATTAAGAAAAATAATTAATACCAATTCACCAAATAGCCCAATAACAAAGTAAATTTTGCAGATAAACCCCACGATTCAATCTTTGCTTAATACGATCAATATTACTAACATTGCATGCAATTCAAACACAAAGAAGGAAACAGGTAATAAAGAAAACGATGAACAGAATCCTTACTGGTGGCGCAGAGGCGACGGAAAGCGAAACGACTCCGTCTACTGTCATGGTCGTTACCGCTAGTACCGTTCTGCTGGGGCAGCCGGAACTCCTTAACATCGAGTCTCCACGATGTGTTTCCGGGCGGCTGTACGGCGTCGTCTTGTGACACCAGAAGCGGTTCAGTGCGGCCTCCGGAAGTGGGCGAACTAATCTCCATTGTTGTTGGGGATTTTGGGGGACGCAACTTCTCCGGAAATTGCCAACTTATAGGATATGTAACCACCCCGCTTTATACGTGGACTGAATTACTATATAAGTTTATCGTTTATACGTCTAAATTTATTTAGAATTTCTTTTAAATCTATACTTACTATTATTAAATGAACCATCCTTGTTAAATTTTTACCCCCTTTTTTTCTTATTTTGCATTCTTTTTTTATACACAATACTTATATGATGAAGGTAAAATAATAATTTTATATCTTTTGAGAAAATGATAATTATATCTCTATTTTTCTTATTTTATCCTCACTTAACTTTTGATACACAATATTTACGCAAGGAAAACAACTATTATTAAGAAAACCCTCATTGTCAACTTTTTGCCCTTTTGTTCCTATTTTACCTCATTTTTAATACACAATACTTACATAATAAGAACAAAATAATAATTTTATATCTTTTAAGAAAATGATAACCATATTCCTATTTTACCCTCATTTTTCATAACAACCGCGAGTTCTCGGGAACCGGAGGCCTCGTCGGCGTACAGATGCTTCGATCGATTCCGCGTTTTTCTAGCGAAGATCGAAGAGAACCACGAGGGCGACGAAGCCGACGACGATGACCTGGCCGGTAGCGACGAATCCCTAGGATCCGACTAGGACTTATCGGATTTTGAGATTATTAAATCTGCATAAATTGGGGAAGGCAGGTTGTGGATTTGGATGGGAGAGGAGGTTGGTTGTGTATGTGTTTGTGCTAGAATGGACTTCGGACTCGTCATTCGGACTGGTGCAAATATGGATGAGAGACGACGCCCTCCGCCGCAGATTCGTACTGCAGGGAGGACGACGGGAGGGGGAGCAAGGGCGCAAGGAGGATGATGCCTTTCTAATTTTTTTTAATTTTTTAATTTTTAATAATCATGTGGGCCCCCATATTGACATGTGGCGTATAGTTATTGTTCACGTAGACGCCACGTCATCGGTTAATAGAGATTTTGACCAAAAAGTTAAGGGTTGTATGAAAGTGTTCCAAAATTATGACTTTAGGTACTACTTTGGGATGAGAAACCTTCATGTATCAAATATTGAAAACCAAGAAATTTCAAAATAATAAACTGAGATTAACCGCAAAGACGCAAGGGAGGAAGATGTCTTTGTAATTTTTTTTAATTTATTAATTTTTAATAATCATATGAGCCCCATATTGACATGTGGCGCCTAGTTATTATCCACGTGGACATCACGTCATCGGTTAACAGATATTCTAATAGAAAAGTTAAGGGATGTATGAAAGTGTTTCAAAATTATGACTTTAGGTACTACTCTGGGATGAAAAAAACTTTATGTATCAAATGTTGAAAACCAAGAAACTTTAGAGTAGTAAACTGAGGTTAACCTTTAAAATAATAATTCAAAAAGGTCACTATCACTAGATTTTTATTTGCTTGATACTACATACATACAAGTAGTATTTACGGGGGAGAGATTTGAACTCGGGACTGCAAGTATAATTTTTGAGAAATTTTATTTGAACTCTTGTAACCTCTTTCTACACCTAACTTACTCTCTCACCCATATTATTTTTAATTAAAGAATTAATCTTTTCTTAAACCCAAATTTATTACGTAAACTACCCTCGATACCCAATTCAAAGAATCAAGATGTTAATTTCTCTTTACACCCATTTATAAAATAAAATTTCAAATTAAGTAGTTTTGTTTTCAAAGAAATTCGAAAGTAAAAAATCTTATGGGTCCCTTGTAACCCCTCGCAAATGCAATTGCGGTAGCTGAGGCGAGAAAGAGGAGGAAAATTTTCACAAAGCCATAGAGCGTTCATGGCCAGCAATGTCGGACACAGTGCAGATTTGTGTTGGCTATAAATTCTCTCATAGTTTTCATGCAGGTCCTTTTATTTCAAGGGGACTCCTTGGAGATTTGAGTCCAGAGCACATCAACTGACCATGATTATAGAAGGTTGTTGAGACAATAAAAGATGTGGCCTGTAACATAGGTACATCTTCAAGGCTTTTGTTTGTACTTTATATGTTGTTAATTTATTTAATTCGAATGGTTTGAAAGTGAGAGCTGGTTCATCCAGCTTCTCCATCCTTGTTGGAATTAGGGTTTTAGCCATCGATAAAAAAAATTTGTTTTTCTCTATAAGAGTGATTAGGATTTTAGTCGGAATGAACGTAAGATAATGAGTGATGGTAACGTTTAATTATAATGTCTGGGTTTATTAATGAATTGTAGTTTTATTGTTAATTTCATCTTGTAATTGATGGTAATTATGCAAGAGGATAAAAATGATAATTAACATTTAAAATTTAAGTTGGGTGTAGAAAGAGGTTACATGAATTTAAATAAAATTTTCCATAATTTTTTTTTTGAACTAAATGAATTATAATTCCAAAAATAAAAAGAATTAATCAAGTTATCATTATGGTAATGTAACTGAAATTAATCCTTAGTAACAAATTCAAGTGAATTATAAAAAAAGCCTTGTAACCGCTTTATGTCATTTTAAAAGTACTTTCAAATGAGCCAATTATCTTCATTTGTAAGGGTTTGATTTCAAGTTTTCCTAAGCTATGATATTTAAAAAGAAAGTTGAAAATAGCCCCAAAAATATACATTAAGAAGAAAAATAATCATAAAGAAATATGATTTTGTTTCATACGTGAACCTTCCTCATTGGTACTCCTAACAAAGTGGCTTTAAATGGAATAAGTTTTGTTGGGTTGAATCTTTGCATGCCCAACACACAAAAAGATAGCGGCAATATTTCCTTCCCTTGCAAGATGTATAGATACGCGTACCGACTAATTTACTTTTCTTTTTACACGTCTCTACGTTGATTGATGAATGCTTTTTATAAGAGGAGACAGCTGATCACTTCGTCACGGCAATTTACTTTTTTTTTTTTTGGGTTAGGAAAAGCCACTCGGGTATTTTAGCTCCCATGGCCGTCATCATGTGATTTTATACAATGTCAACAATCGAACTTAAGACGTACGGTGTGGAATATATGCCTAGAATTCTTTCCCAACACTGGATCACCTGTGGTGTTATTGGTTGATCATGTTTAGCAAAAAGAAAACACTATTTGTGTGTTGCATAAAAACTTACCTACAACAAGTTTATAATATAGTTATTACACATTTTCGCAAGTCATGTAAATTGTGAGATTAATATCATGCTAGAGAGAGATTCATTAATCTCGATTATCTTTTTTTCTAGATAGAACTTGTGGTCCTAATCTTTTGGGATTCGAAATTCTTCATAGATGAAGTTGGATCGTTGTTCATATTTACATGGAGAGAAATTCCTTGTCATATTGCATGTAGGATTCCAAGTATAATTTGGTTTGTAGAATGAGTTCTTTGGAATTAACCTTCTTCATACAACGTTACTTTTTGTGTGCCATAGGAATCAAAATTTTGCTTTTTGATACAAAGAAGAAGAGTAAATCAAACTTAGGAATATTTTTAACCAGTTGAGCTCTTGCAGGATCCATTAATTAAATGCATTTCCATTTTCCATATGATGAAAATGATCCAAAAGAGGTTCCGAGGTTTTCACATTCGAGACTAAGAAAAATTTAACACAAACCTCGCTACAACATTTCACTACTTAAATTTTCACACTCTAAGAATAATTAACTGAACATTTTTCATCTGGTGCAAAAACAACATGATCTCTTTGGTTCTCTTGTTGGGCAAAAACAACATCTACAATTCATGGACAACCATGGTTTTGAATTTCCATATGGTGCAAAACCAATAAAATTGTAGCTTGGTGCACCAGCTTCATTCTGGACAGTTTGATTTTGAACATTTTCACCTTAGCATCCTAGTCAAACAATACAACTTAACATTATAATGCAGGATGACTCAATCTTAATTTAATGTAATAAATATATGTTAGTGGGTAGACTAACTGGGGTTAATATTAATGAGTTCATTAACTCTAGTAATGACGCATGAAGTAGGATGCATCTATCAGTAATTATTAAGAGGGGGTTAGACGTTTTATAAATTATGAGTATTTTGTATTCTAGGGGGAAGATGATGATGAATTGAATTGAAAATTGAGTGCAGTTTGAGAGAGTTTTCTCATTTTTGTTCTTGTTCTATCAAGTCGGATATTTCAACAAAATTAACAAGGTAAAGACACCCCAACGATCATTGGCCATTCTCGTGCAGAGAATCAACAACGTTCGTGTGATAAACTTCTTCGCATTCTTGGTGAATCAACAAGAGGTTTAGGACTTGTGAAATTCGGTATTGTCTTTATAACAAATCTGGATACCGATCCTCGAATGGAGAATGAATGTTAAAACAAAAACACACGAAATGCATAACTTTTCCTTGCAGATTCGTTGATTGTCAAAGACAATACCGAATTTCATGTCCTAAACCTATTGTTGATTCACCAAGAATGCCAAGAAGCTTATCACACTAGCGTTGTTGATTCTCTGCACGAGAATGGCCAATGATCGTTGGGGTGTCTTTACCTTGTTAATTCCGTTGGAACATCCGAGTTGATAGAACAAGAACAAAAAATAAGAAAACTCTCTCAAACTGCACTCAATTTTCAATTCAATTCATCATCATCTTCCCCCTAAAATACAAAATACTCATAATTTATAAAAAGTCTAACCCCCTCTTAATAATTACTGATACATGCATCATTACTAAAGTTAATGAACTCATTAATATTAACCTCACTTAATCTACTCCACTAACATATATTTATTACATTAAATAGAGATCGAGTTATCCTGCATCACATTATAAGCTTGTGTAATACAAAAAAATATGCAATGTAACAACTTATCAATTCATGGCCACTGCTTATGCCATTCTGTTTATATTTACTTTCATCTCGCTTCAACCTTCAAGAGATACATACTGATCCTATAACATTATAATTTCTTTTTTTTGAAACAAACATTATAACATTATAAATATTAATAATTAAAGAATTAGATTTGTCAAGGTGGATGATTAATGATTTAATTGACAAATGGGTTTTCAAA